CTCTGTGCGCTCTGTGCGCTCTGTGCGCTCTGTCAACAGGGCCAACAGGGCCAACAGAGCCAACAGGGCATATCACGTGACTCAGCCTTGTTCTCCTGTGGATCCTTCCATCTGTCCAATGAGTGTGGTGAGTCGCGCCAATGCAACTCGTAACCGGGTTTCCTCAAGGCTGTGTCTAACACTAAGTTATAAGAGCCCCTTACGAAAGTAACGTACGATAGTATACTAATGATATATAATAGACTAACGAAGTTCTTATACTTTAGGCTATATCTTAAGAAATCAATAGTAGAAGAATTCGCGTACGAATTTCTACGAACGGTCTTTACTAACTATAAGATATTAAGAGAGATTATTATAGATAGAGATAAACTCTTTATATCTAAGTTTTAGAAAGTATTAATAAAGTTACTAATAACGAAATATAAATTATTTACATTATTTCACTCTTAGATAGACGGCTAAATAGAAAGAATAAACTAAACTCTAGAGTAATATCTAAGAATATACGTAAACTATAGTTAAATAAACTAAGTAAAACTACTATTAGTTATCTAATTTTACTTTAATAATTATAAGTTAGTAATAGAAATAAGTCTATTCTTTACTAACTACGATTTTCACCTACGACTTAAGAAAGTCATCGATAAAAGTCTAAATCTAAGAGCTAAAAATATAGCTTTAACTATAAAGAAACTTTATAAATAGCTTAAATTAGATCTAAGATTTCTCGCGGAAAGAATAGCGAACTACGTAAATAAGAAACGAATCGAGGGACTACTCCTAGAGAAGAGGGACCCCGTCTACCTTTTACGAAAAAACATTAAAATAAAGAGACTAAGCGTAAAACTAAATTATACGAAACTCGAACTATTTAGGATTAAAGATAAACTTAGGGACGTCATATATCGACTAGAACTACTAAAGGATATAAAGGTTCACAATGTATTTCATAAAGCACTCCTTAAACTAGCACTACGGAACGCTAAAATCGTTAAAACACTTCCGTTAAATGAGGAGCTAGCGACCGAGAAATATAATGTCGAGAAAGTTCTTAGGAAGTGCGTTAGGCGCGGCTAGCCCTAATATCTAATTAAATGATTAGGGTACGACGAATGCGAAAATAGCTGGGAACCGAAAATTAACCTTTCGAAGAAACTTCTAAAGAAAATAAAGAAGAATTACTCTAAGTGGTTCCTAACGCTAGTAAAGCGTTCAGCTATCCGTCGTTAAAGATAAACTCGCTATGAGCTATCGGCAGCTTAGGTTCATCCGGTGTATATCCCTTCTCCTAATTAAGGGTATTTAATATCTAGGATTGTCGAATAACTATATCACTCTAAGCACGAGTATACTCTTCGATCTATCGCTGGTAATTAGCTAACCGGCGCTCTAGTTTAGCCGACTCGGCTATAAACTCGGCCGCCTCAGCGCGCACCTAGGCCATACGATCGTATAGCCTCTGAGCCCGCTTAGCCATCCCCTCGCGCGCCTTACGACAACGGTTTTCTAACTCTTTCTTCTTCTTCTCTAAAGATTGAAACTCCTCCTTAGAATATTAGTCATCACACTTTATATTCTTCCGAGTATACTCGCTATAACGAGAATTATCTTTTAGAAGAAAGTAGAGAGAAGACGACCTATCGTAATTCGAATAAGGAGCCATAGTCTAAAAACCTAGGCGTTTTATCTTCTCGGAAAGAAGGCGACGTTCGGAGAAGCGTTAGCGGAGAATCTTACGAATACCTAAGGAAAGAGAAAGAAGAGAAAATATCTTTAGATCTAGATGAATTTAAGCTAGGTAGTGTTCCGCTTTTATATCATCGCTAAGACGAATTCTTAGAATAAGAATCTAATCGAAGAGAGAATAGTGTTAGACATAGTCTTAGAAGAAATCGATCACGAGTCGCACGAATACGACTCACTACACTCATTGAATACTTAGAAGGATCCGTGGGAGAATAAGACTAAGTTATGTAATATACCCTACTAGCCCTATCGACTCTACTAACTCTACCAATAGAGCGCACAGAGCGCACAGAGCGCGCAGAGCGTAAGCATTATATATACACCCTCATTACCCTAGATAGTTACACTCTCTCCGTAGCCAACTTATGTTATCTACTGAACTATACAGTTCTTGGTAACAAAGACTACTGCTCATACCTTGTGTTCTCCATAACCAGCTCATGCTATTCTAGGATTGTTGCTGAGAACCCTAACCCAGTTAGGTTCAGTAGGGATCCTTAACAACTATAAAAAGAAATAATAATAATAGTGAACTAGGGCGAGGCTACTAGCCATGGGTATCAACTCGTACGGCGGTGGGTATAGCCTCTTCCCAACACGCACACTTAACTAGGGGAAGTTCTCTCTATTAGTAACTTAGTTAATTGTCCATTCTATGAAAGATAGTCCCCCAGGACTATGTAAGAAGAACCATAGTCTAGGGTCGGCGCCCCAGCCAATCATAACGCTATCCACCACTTCAAACTTCTCCCATTACACTAGGCTTCGCTCTCACTACCTTTAGCGTCTTCCTTATAGTGTAACTAGATATCGACACCGGCGTACCTACCTAGATTACACTAACCACCGTCTTAGGCGTAGGCTTAGGTATACTATTCGATAGTATAGAGCTTACGGTATAGGCTATAAGCTCCGATGCCGATTAAGCCTTCGCCATCTCCACCTTCTCTTTCTTCCGCATATTCGGCCAGGCCGTGGGCGTCGCCGTTAGCGGCGTTGTTTTCCAAAATTAAATGAAGAAGAACTTGCAAGGCAGTCGGCATTTTGCGGATCAGGCCGGTGAGTTGGCACGGGATGCGGCCGCATTGGTGCAGATCATCCGGGATACGGCAGAGAGTGGGCAGAAGAAGGAGTTGTAGTTAGCGTATATGAGATCGCTGAGGACGATATTTCTTGTCCTGGGTGTATTGTCGTTTGTTGCGTTTCTCCTGGCTTTCTTTATCAAAGACTATGATATGAACCGGGCGCTGGACGGTCAGCAGGGATTTAAAGAGAAGCCAGCGAGCCAGCAGGACGAGGAAGGGGGACTCTCTGAGAAGGCTGGTTAAAATTATAGATTTAGTAGCCAGGCATTAGACAGAGTCTGCCTTACTTGAAATCGAAGAAATTATTTCGAAACATTGGCATATCATTCTACTTATTCCAACAGGCAGCGGCTCGCTGACATATCTAACGTTTCTATTAGACAGTCGAGGCGATTAGCGTACAATATCAATGAAAACAAAGCTGGCATCATAACGAGCGGTAAGTGTACAAAACAAGGGCGCCCTTCAGTATGCGGTTGATAGGACAAAATGCAGTTTGGCAACAGTACCTCTGACATCAGCCTTATTGCTCAGGAGACGCTCCAACCCATCTGAAACGCCAAAACTAGCTGCCAAAACATAAAAGCCATGACGCCAGATGCCACCTCTAGGAAGGGCAAAACCCGCCTGTGACGCCGCAGGCGGACGATTCAAGAGTTGCACCGCAGGCCACAACGGTCACAGTGACAGTAAAGACCTCATCTCCAGCGTCGTTCTGCTGAGCCGTTATCTTTGCCGACGCCGCTGACAGAGCCGATATTTGAGAATTCACGATTGATATGAGAGCATCGATTTGGTCGTTCTCGCGAGAGCAAGCTGCAGCATTGTTCGTGTTTCCTGATACTTGGGCTCCCACAACAGCTTGAACGACGCCTCCGACAGCTCCGGAACTAGCCCAGCAAGGGTATCTTGGGTGCTTCATGGTTAGCAGCCGGTCTCGTAGCTTTTGAGGGGAACGAAAGAAAGTTGATGGGACGCGACTTACCGACTGCGACTTGGGTGAAGAAAGGGCTTTTCAAGAGGTCAAGGGCCTTCTTTCCTCCGGCCTGCGAAACAGTTTTCACAGCGTTGAAATACGGAGTGATGGCACCCTTGAGGATAGGGCCGCCCGTTCTCGCGGCCGAAATACATGTGGCGAATGTATTACACAAGGCCTCAACCAAGTCACGCTCGTCAACTTCCCTGTTAATGAGGTTTCGGGAAAGCTCGTAATGCGCCAAATCGGTATCGTTCATGATATGGATAGAGTCGTCCCACTCATCGGGTAGAATGCCTACATATGCGTTGGCATGTATCTGGCACAGCTTATAATCGGTGCCCTCGAATGATAGCTGCATTCCATGGTAGATTTGTGGTGTCGGTGGGATCGCTCTAGTGATAGACGAATGCGGGAAAGGATATCGTCGCTGGTCAGGAGAGCGACGTTTGAAAGAAGGAAGGCCCAGAACGGTGCTGGCCACAACCTGGAACGAGTTGTATGCCCCAACAACGCCTTAGTCGACAGTGAGGCAACCGGCATCAGCTCGACTAATTTCAGTTCCTGGGCCGCAGTCCTCTGAGCTATAAAATTGCACGGTGGTAGAATCATCGACCGGGCCGGTAGATTCAACAACAACTCCCTCAGCTAGGCCGCTAGAATGTGTTAGAGTCTAATCTATAACTTCGATTGCATGGGTGCTTACGCGTATTCCTGCCGGCAGCCTTGTCCCTCTCCTCCAATCCATGCACCGACAAATTCCCCAGCACAATTTGTGTTCTTGTAAAAGGAAACTTTGAACGCTTCGGTGCCGAAAACCAGATAGGTGACTATGGCTAGGAAAATCATGGAGAATGTCATATCTTCACCCAAATCTATGCAGGGCTAGAGATCAGAGGAAATTGAAATCTTGATCCAGTTGGTGGAATTTTGGTTCTATTCTTCTAGGTATGTCGTCTGTCTCGAGGTAGCTTGTTTGGTGATCTCTGAGCGATGCTAGCTTTATACACCTCGACATTGTGATGAGAGTCTTCATCAAAGATGACTCAAAGCCGCGTCGCCAGCGGTCGCGACAAAAAGACGTCTCAAGTTGTGGGTGCATCGAAGTATGGCGGCTTTTGGAGCCATATCTGGTGAATTCAGGGAACATATCCCTGGCATCACGGTTACCCAAGAGGCCAGGTGCCTGATAAGCACAGCTGTAAGGTAGACACTTGTAGCAACACTGCTCAGCCTCGGTGGGTATTTATAGAGGACCCGTTTGAACCACATCACTTGCACAGATTGCTCATAGAGTCGAACGATATGTTATGATGAGCATAGCTTTACTTAGTGAGATTTGAGTGTGAGACATGGGAGCTGCCATCGGAGAGATGTATACTCTCTATCACTGACTCAGTGTACTCAAGGAGCCAGGTTGGCCGGGCGTACTCAGCTAGGCGCGCTTCAGGAGTCGAAAGCACTTGCCTTGCCCTCTTCTAAGCTACCGAAGGCTTTTAGTCTGCGACAGCAACGACTGAGAGTCCATGGTTAATGGGGATGTGGCCTGAACCAGGCCCAGAGACATTTAGTGGAGATTGGTAGCCGCAAGTGGGTGTGTGTTGAGAGAGCAAGACGGATTTTGGGCATTGAGTTCTCTCGCAAGCCTAGGCCAAAGCAGGATTTGTAGACAGCCGCTGAGACGCCGGCAGCCGTAGATTTTGTCGCGCAGTAATTCTGATACTGTAGAATGGGGTTACAGGGATGGTGGAAGTAGCAAGGAAAATACAGCCCCTAGGCGCTTACGATTCCCTCTCAAGAGGTTGATAAGGCTGACTTGGGCGTATCGCCGGGGCTGGGCAAGCCAAACAGCTCTAGCGTAGTTGGGTATGTTTCAAGAAGAGGCAGTGCGGCCTGAGGTGAGGAGCTCTGGCCTTTGCAGAAGCGGGACATCAGGCTACAACAACAGTCCCCCGCCTTGTCCCAACCTTCCATCATTTGGGACAGAAATCATCGAGGTTCAACAACAATAATTGCTACTTTCATGATTACTTTGAATTCCCGAATTTCCTCAGACCCATCAATCAAGGCAGTTGAATACATCTAGCTAAGACCGCATACCACAAGCAATGGGCGTGCCTGACTGGCTTGATGACTCTCGGAATCCCCCTGCGTGGATTGTCGCCATCTATCCTCTCCTAATATTCCTTCTTGCCCTTGTCTGCCACTTCCAGATGCAGGATTTTGTTGAAAGCTTTCCGCTGGCGCCAGATGATTCTGCAGCTACAAAAGAAAACGAAACTTCAGACATAGGAGATACATCATCCATGGAGTACGACTTGATTCCGCCGGGTTGTGCGGATATTGTCACAGAACAGACAGACCCTGCGGACGGAATTAATCCAACCGCCGAAGTTCCCGAAGCTCGAGTTCCACCCTGTAGGGACGAATCTTCGGGACACAAGAGTGTCAGCAAAACCGAAGGAGTCTCACGCCCTAAGCAGTCGAAATACACCAAAGGAGTTCTCATTTATGGCCTCCAAATTCTTCTAGCACATCGGCTTGGAGCTCTAGCCACGAGACGAGTGCAGGAGACCCACAACCTTGCAGACAAATTCCTAGGGTTGCTGGCAATGTCTGTCGTTACTTTGTTGGTCCTGATATCTGTTGGACATCTGGAAACCTCCAGATCAGTGACACTCCAGGGGTATCGCACACATAGAAGATACGAACCGCTCACAAGTCTATCAGACCCTTGAACTCTATTCGTTGTCTTCACTTATTTTACTTTGATGGCACCATGGTTGAGGCTTCTTTTTAGCCTGATAGGGTGATAAAAGCTGAAGAGAGAAAAGTTCTCTGTCTCCAGAGAATGAGCATCTACAAAATAGGTAGACTGGATGTCAAGTGAGAACTCCCTGTGATAAAGTCAGGACGCACCTCAAGTGATTCGACGTTCTCAATATCATATTAAGGTGACAGAATTTGGTACCGAAGTGACATGGGCAGAGAATTATTGCAACAGACTTATAGAGATATATTTGTCTAGGGGCAATACCAGGAGTAGCTCATTGCTGGGCAAATAGCAAAGTTTGCGTTATCCAACGATCAGTTACGGCTCTTCGCCGGGAGCAACTATCATGTTTTTCCTTTCACATTTATCCACTCTATCTCTAGGCTTGTGAGGAGTGCGGCGACGGACGTACTAGTAGAAAGATAAAAGGTTGAATTGATTGCCTTGTTAAAAGCGTGCAGGACCTGAGGTAGCTGTTCAGGTGCCACAAACTTTCTGACTTCCCCTGACCCAGCGAAAAGCAGAGCCTGGGCGTCAACATCTGGTGTATCGACCTTTAGCGAATGCAAGAGGACATTGGCAAAGATGGGCATCTGGCCCATCAAACCAAAAGCCGAGCCCTTGCAGACCCTGATACAATTTCCAGCCCGCGTGACTGGTTGACGGGTGAATGGTTGAATGTAAGCCTGTGCCGATGGCCATGAGGGTGCAATCGATGTAGATGAAGATGTTCAAGTGGCCGAGTTTGGTCACCATCCCACCGGAGAGCAAGGTTCCGACTATTTGGGAGAGAAACATTGGTATGTTCATCACTCCGCTGTGTATGGGAGAAGCGTCCTTGGGAACTTGGAACCACCCAGGAAGGTAGTACACAACGGCGAAGATGCCGCCTAAGGCGAAGATGGCCGTCAGCTGCTGAAGACGACCGTTTGGCGGAAGAGGAGGTTCATGGGTATTAATGCTTGATCGCCCTTGTAGAACTGCCATGCAACAAAGACAGCGATGTTAGCGATGTTGCCTCCGAATCCCAAGACGGAGCCGAATGCCACGGATATGTGGACCCTCCCATTTAGAGAGTAAGAAGAATCATAACGATAGATGGGATGAATAAAGCGGCACCGACGAGGTCAACTTTCTTGATGCGATCCAAAGCTGGCCCATTTTCTGACTTTCTGCTGAGAGGGTGGAAGGCGAGGATCATAGTCAGTGCAGCCGCGCCGCCCGCAGGCAGATTGATGTAAAAGCACCACCTCCAAGAAGCGTATTAGGTAAAAGCCCCGCCGATGGCGGATCCAACAATTGTCGCAACGCACGGGCATGCTAAGGTCGTTCGGTTCAACGTGGATGTTTTATGAATCACAATTTATCGGAGTCGAAGGTGGTCAACAAATCCTTCGTCGGCAACAGACCCAGGAAGTCCAGAGTTTCTGTGATGCCTGTCTCAGAGTAGACGGCTGGAAAACCCTGATTCCTGCCAATGAAGGCATCGTGGCCGCCGCTTCGCAGAGATTCTGACACGTTCGAGGTTTCGTTCATTTCCACCCCAAAGTCCCAGTCACTGGACATAACCAGAACGCAGCGCAAGGCGTTAAGGGCTCGCTGAGCACAGCCTACCGAGAGCGCGAGTATTTCGAGTAAGCGTTTGATATCTTTGAAGAGCTCCTGTACATCAACTTGTTCGGCAAAGGTGGATGGCTTGATCTGCTCCTGCTTCAAATGAAACACACAGTCAACGAGGGAGCATGTGAGAAGATACCCAATCGGCCGTGTGCACACGAAGCACTGAATGTAGCTTGCAATGGCTGCGACGATGTCTTTACAGATACTGAAGCACGAGTGTTGCCGTTCCAAGTCTCCATGAGATTCCGGAATGTGTGTCTGTCGGATGAGCAGCCGCAAAGAATGGTGCCACTAAGAAAAGGGCTGGTTAGTGGGCGCACATCATGTCTTTCTGGAAGCCAACTCTACTCCTTACCAGGAAAGCTTGCAATTTTTGACGCATGCATGATTCCGTCACTCCGCTGACCACATACTCTTGGACCTTATTGGTGTCCCAGAGCAGTCTATCTGGCAACTCCTGGTATTTGATGACCACTTTTGCATCGGCCACTTGCACTTCTGACCACTTTCCAGCAAAGGGGTGCATTCGGCGCAAGGAAATTGGGCCAGATGAACGTCCAGAGCTTGGAGTAGCTGATCATAGCCTCGACAAGCTGGACCTTAGAATTATCGATACCCGATTCGCCCCGAATGGGAAGAAGGTCATCGATATTGACATCATCCGGACGCAGGAGGTACGAAATGCCACACTTATAGTGTACACACTTCTCCTGGAAGTATAGAATCACCAAAAGGTATTTTGATGAAATGATGTCTTCCGGGTCTTGTTTCCAGCGGCTTTTGTCATTAAGACTGATACTTCGGGCTGTATGTAAGGCTCGGACAGTATGCAGTGCTGCTTGGCGGAGTTTTTCTGCCTCCATCAAGCTACCGGCAGTGAGCATGTGGTAAGCAACAACTTCTACAGGTCTCCGATCACGTCTTCGAATTCCTCCATCAATCTTTTACCTTGCAAAAACCAATTATGGCCAGTAGCGGGATCCATCGTACTGGTACTCGCTGTGATGGTTTCAGCAAACCATATGATATTGCACAGTATGGCAAACGTGGTGCAGTGCTGAGCCGGAACATGCACAGCGTCCTAGACGTCTCGACACATTTTGCCGCAGAACGAGCAGTGCGACATCTTACGCCATTCAGCTGCAGACATTAGCGTGATTAAAGCGCCAAGGACACCAAGGTGTGGCGCTGGTCGCGTGGCTGTGCGTGGCGATACGTTACTTTTTATACGCCGCCGTACGTACTTTGATGGGGCAATTAATTAGATACATTACTTGTGTCATTACGAAGGACTGTGCAGTAATGGTGATACATACCACGATGAGATCCAATTGTCGACGATTCGTCATTGAAAGTGGAACTAGCTAATGCAGATTTAGGAAAAGCGCCGGCACTAATATTCTTGGCTTTAGTGAAAGAAAGTTGCAATATGTCCGCAGGGGTCTCCCAATTTCGCAACTCACTGTAGGCAGGTTTCGGGAACGGCTGTATATAAGTACTGTACTGTAAACCCATCCATCGCTAGGATTGAGAAGACGTGTCACCACGCGCACACGAAAGTCAGGCAGCAGGCTTAGCTGAACAAATAAGGGCTACAGCAGGGCAACTATAGCCGAGGGCCAAAGGGGACCCCTGAGCCCGAACTGGCTAGCATCGGGCCAGCGCCCCCTGTGGACTCGCGCAGGGCTCGGGCGTGCTCCCCCCGGGCTCCCCCCGTGCTCTGCCGTCGCTCCCTCGACGCTCTCCCGTGCTCGGTCGGGCGCTCCCCACGCTCTGTCACGTGCCAGATTAAAGCGGCCTGGCTCCCTTTCCTGAACGAAAATGGCAATGGACGAAACTCGGTTCGGGGCATATATAATGTATATATATACCCCGAACTACGCTTTATCCATTACCATTTACGTTCAGAAAAGGGAGCGAGGCCGCTTTAATCTGGCACGTGACTGAGAATCGAGGAGGCCCGACCGAGCACGGGGGAGCGGCGGCAGAGTTACGGGGGAGTGCGCCCGAGTCCCGGGTGAGCCACAGGGAGCGCTGCCTGATGCCCATACGCAGAAGCCAGTTCAGGCTTAGGGGTCCCCTTTAGGCCTCGGCACAGTTGCTCAGCTGTAGCCCTTCCTTTGTTTCAAGCCTTCAGCCTGGCAACTTGCGATCCGTTCGTCTACGTGGTGATGTGTCTTACTCAATCCGGGCATTTGCGAACCGTCATATCCGATAAGTACACATAGTACAGTACGTCACTGCTTCACTATACCAGCGAAGTATCGAGGCCATGGCATCTGCCAGCTCAGTATTGTAGTTTATATTCTCATTCTACACTAGTGTAACGACCCGTTACAGGAAGGATGGAGAAGCTCCCCAAAGTCTGTATATTTGTTGACAGGGTCGCGAGAGCGCCACTGTGGCAAACCACCTGAGACGCTAGACGCTTCACCAACTGCGCAAACTGCCTCAACCTCGTTGTTCCTGCAGTTCTGTGACAGGATGGCGACGGAGGAGGAGGTTTCAAGAATGCTCTTGTGGTTACAGGCCAATGTATATATAAACAGGCAGAGTCTCTCTGAGTAGCCAGGGGGACAGGACACAATCAACCAGATAGATCCACAACTGTTCTGTGTTCAACAATATTGCACTAAATGACTTATGAAAACGCCTGTATAAAATTGGAAAGTTCTACAATCGATCCTCACCTAGAAAGAGACTACGATATTGGAGTCCTTTCCAAGGTGATATTTTGGCTCAGGCTGGCGGTGCTGGACCCTCCTACTTCTGAACTCATTCATTCGCTAACCATCGTGGATGTGGACCGCGTTACAGTAGACTGGTAGGTAGTGTGAGGTCGGACGCAAGGTTCCTAATCAACACATGGAGGGCCAAATCAAGCCCCTAGAGCAATCGGCTATACCCGCCTCTCTGCTAGGCGTCTGTTTCAGACGGGCGTCAAGGGACCCTGGCAGATTCCCTGCCCTTACGCTGCTGCCTAATTTTCCTTGTAAAGTCGTCCCCGGGAATCCGCCGCGATTTACTTGGTAATTGATTGCTATTTTGCCAGATACGCCCGTATTTCGTGCAAAAGTACAGAGGACACTAACCTCAAACCCACTGTAGGTCCTGAGCCGCGGGCATCATTGTTTGATTGATGCAACCTCATCCTTGGGCTCCCCCAGCTATGTAGCGGCTCCTCCGGCTCTTGAGGCGGGCAACGCGGAGTCGAAGCATCCCCGCCCCATTCATCAGGGTGGTACCTAGAGTTCGGACATCAAGGTCAGAGATTGTGAACCTCTACCTCGCAGCCTCGCTATCCCGAAAGATCATACCTTTACGGCATGTGGCGCAATTTTGGAATCATTTTGAAGTATGTCGACGAGAAAAGAGGTTCCTTGGGTCACCTGAAGACCAGCTATCGACCTGAAACAGTATGGTAACTTTGGAATGAAGACAAAACTGGCCCCCCTAAACAGCGCCGGTTTTTCGAACCTAGGGAGCGGAGGAGCTAAGCAGCACGAAACGTCGGCACCTTCCGGACTCTCAGCTCGCCCAGATCTCTGCGCTTATGCAGGAGCTCCCTTGTTCTGTAATGTCAAAGCGTCCGCCTGGCTGAAAAATGTGAGCTGATAATATGCTGCCCAATCCCGGATTCAACTCCTCTTGGAGAATTAGAAACTGTGATATATTTGCAAGGCACTCCTCACTATGCGATAGACAGATATGACCCTAGAGTTTTAAGGCATAGGGGACTCTGATCTTCTCGCCAGGGAATGCTCAGAACCGGGCTCTACCTACGTACGATTAAATAACTATGGCTGTTCCATTTGTCTGGGACCCTGATCGTGTCCTCCAAATCACTGATCTTGGCCGCAATGAGATAATCTGTATTGGCCGTGCGGCCAGAAGATTCAACTCTCGCTGCACTTGGACCATCGAAGAGCCAGAAGTCTCCCATGCGTCTTCCCTCCTCGCATCCATGGCTCGAAAGCTGCCGACGGAAGTGCGAAATGAGGAATTGAGAGTGCTAGCTAGGCTGTGCCTATGCCACCAAGCGCATCAACATCAGCAGAAAGAAGCCTTCTTAAACCTGCAAAGCCTGCTCCAATATGCTCGTGACGATTATGAACGATTTAAAACGTTACAGCTGCAGAATATAGAACTACGCACTGAAGTTCTGAATGGAAAGGTCAGTACTCTACTCGCAGAGCTCAGGATGAGCGGAATTTAGCTGGAATACTCACGCTTGCAGGTTCGAGAGATCAGTCTTTGCCAAAAGGTGGATGAGCAAGCAACGGCTGCGAGCAAACTTCAAGAAACGGAACGAGGCCTGAAGAGTCAGTTGGCTCATATGTGCCAGCAGTTGGATCAGCAAAATACGACCATAGCGAAGCTGCAAGATTCCGAATCTGGTTTGCGAAGGACGTCGGATTATCTCGAGCAACTATTACAAAAAGGAAAATTGACCGTGGCCAGTCTTGAAAAGTCGAATACAGGTCTCGAAGGGCAGCTGACCGGACTTCGTCGACAATTGTATGACCAAAAAGTGGCTGTGGATGAGCTAGAGGCGTCAAAGTCAGAGCTCCAAGGACAGCTCCACGAACTCCGCCAACAATTGAACCAGCAAAACACTGCTGTCCGCAACCTGGAAGACGAAAACCGAACTTTAAAAGATCAGCACACAGCCGCTGTAGCCGAGTTGGGCACCTCACAGCTTAAACTTGAGCAAATGAAATCTGAACTCCAATCAGTCCGGATCGGCAACGCTGACCTTCAACGTCAACTGGACGAAGCATTCATTCTAGGAAGACTGGGAATCAACAACGCATGGCTGACACGACTTCGAAATTGGCTCCGAGCTTACCAGTTATTGTTCACTGGGGCATTTAGACGTGTTCGCCATGTTTTAGCTACACTATCAGCCAAGTTGATGAGATTTTGGCCTAATCGAGGCCTCTTCAGGGGCGTAGAACCCGTTGCTGGGAAATATCTAGCGGCAGAAGAGATGCTTCCCCGTCACCGCGGCCCATCGGAACCACCAGTGTAATTTGGAAGACTATTGTCGGCCGCACTTCCAATGTCTCCATTGCAAAGAAAGCTATACGACGTTGATAGGGCGTCCTGTGCACTTATAAGACTATATAAAGGCAAGTTGGAAAGGTTCCACCTCCTCGTGAAGGTTTGGTGAGATCAAAGGCACCCATTATCTTGAGGAGTTAGGTGGACCTCTTCCTGTTTCCGAAGGAGTACTGATCCAGGTCCTGTAGTGGTTGCGTAGTGTGTGGGAAGGCAAGTTAATCTGAAGAGACGACAAGGGAAGGGATTGGGCCAGGGGAAATTACTGTCCAGAGAAGATATCCTCGAAAGCGGCTATATTGCCGCCAAATTCGGCGGGAAATTTCCCTGAACCCTACGTTGTGCTGTTGTTTTCGACTACAGTACTGCTCTATGTCTAATACCATAAGTCCTGGTATGTGGTCTTGCAGCCCTTTGAATAAGAAGCTTTAGGGGGGAGAATAATTGTCACGAATACTCAGCCGCCAAGACCGTCTAGTCTCGTAACACGGTAGCACTCAGCCTAATACATAGCGTATTTACCGCACGCTCACCGCATAAGGATCCCTTCTCCCATGCTTTAAGTCTCATTTAGGACGCATAGTCAAGAATATCTCATACCCAATAGTCTCAGCTTAATCATTCTACTCTACCTATTTCATGAGGCTATTCCTAATAGAGATCGAGTCCTTGCTTTGACGAGGATTCGATTCCGAATCGAGTCTTACGCTTAACCTATTTAGGAGAGAGGCTAACCTATTCTAGGTAAGTTGTATTCAAAGCAAAGGTATTTGCTGAGCTGACCAAATAGCAAGTACAGAGTACTTCGTTGCCAACCTTGCCCTTAGCTCGGCATCTAGTCTCACCTCGCAATAGTTAGCAACTACCTCAGTATCGTAACGTGAGACGTTATAGTGTAACAAGGCAAAGTGGCTGTGCTGTGCTAAGAGTGGTAACAAGGGGGAGAGTTGTCTAGTCACATGTCAAACCAAAATGGGCTGGCAGGGGGAGTGCGGAACAGTTTACAGTGCTGGCAGTGTGCCATTCTTTACAGAGTGAACAGAGTATGATGAATTCCTTGGTTTTTTGATGCCGTCTACCTATTCCTGAGTGTTTTATCAGTCCTGTCCTATCTCCACAACGCCACCGCCGTGCTAGGCGCTCGTTGCCCTCGCCGCTGCCTCTCTGGGTGGTGTTGGTGGTGGTGTTGTCTTGTCAGCGTCAACCAGAAACGCGTTCTCGATTCCCGACCTGCCGGACAGGCCTTTGTGCGTTTTTGCACGTGCACGCCGAACCCTAAAGTGCTGTTACAATAGAACGAGGCTGGACAGATCTTGACGTGTCTATACGTATTTAGGAGAGACCTCAATTTTGTACTTGGACAAGTACTCGGTAGAGAATGACTAATCAAATCGGTATTTCCTAATTAGGATATCCGGACTCGCCAAGAAGGATTCGAGTTGAGGAGTCGAGTCCTGGCAATGCTGTAGAATCGCACCCTTTCCCTTTGTCACGTTTCTCGTGTTCGTGAGGTCGCCATCATGTGTGACTTTGTTCCCTATTCCTGGCTCTCCTATTTATTGTTATTCCCTTACTTTTTTAGTGCCCTTTCCCCCTTCAGCCGTGATGATTTTTTTACTCGTTTCCCGAGTCGACTTCATGCCCCCATGCCCAAGCCCGAGCCCGAGTCCGTCATTGCTCGCAGGAGTTTCTGCAACCCCCAAAAAGGAATCCCAAGAAGAAAAGAAAAGCATGTCGTCGTGAAGATAGTAGATATTCCGCGCTGCATCAAGACGAAAGGCGAAGAAAAAGGTCATGGGACGAGCATGAGAGAAAAAAATATCATGCCAAAAAACTCGAACAGAAGGGGATACATAGTGGCGCCGTAATTCGTTCCGGATTTCTCAAAAGTTCCACTTCCCTTGGTAATATCCGGGACCAGAGCCCATAATCGCTCTTTGCTTTTACTTTTCAAAACCAAAAAATAAAAAAAATCGTCCAAGATTGGTATAACGTTATAGAGTCACAGAAAAAATATTCGTGAGGTTGCTTGACCGATCAAAGGCGTGTATGTGGATAGGTAGTCGGCAAGATCGGGTTCATGTGGTCCTTGCGACTGAGCGACTGTTCAAATCATCGTGGGGAGACCAGTTAGGCCTAACCCCATGTGGCGGTCCATTGCCACCTTGGGCATCTTCATTACTGTCTGACTGTCGATGGCTATTGTATCACCATCATCGCCAACGCCATCACCGTCGTCGGGTTTCTCTTCGGCGCCCGACGTTCTAAGCATGGTCAATTGCGGTTCCTGTTCCATGGCAGGCGTATTGAATAGGCCATCGCACAACGCTTCGAAATCGTCAATGTCCAGAGCGAACTCGAGGTCCTCGTCCGGCAGGATCTGGTCGACGTCGATCTGCCATGGTTGTTTGGAGGGTGGCGAGGCATGGCGCACGGCGGCGGGCTTGTGTTTCTCTGGAGTGTGCTGTACCGACGACGCTTTGGCGGGAGAACGTTTTGGCAATGACACTGAAGCAGGCCTCTTCTCGGATCCAGACTCCGATTCAGACCCCGAGGAGTTGTAAAACGTAAAAGGTGCAAGAGTGGGCTGTGACGAGATAGTCGAATGGCGGTCGTCGAGGATCGTCAGCTTTCGAGCCATGGCACCCAGTGTGGTCGAATCGGCGCGTTTCAGGCCAATGTTATCACACTTCTTCTTTGTCCCGGATTTGCTCGACTTGGCGGATTTGGCAGGGCTTGCTTGTATGGCCGGCAACGTAGCAATTCCGGCTACGAGCAGGCCAGAAGTTCGTCGACTCGTCGCGGAGCTTGTCTGTTTCGATCTGATCACGGGGGACGAAATTGAGGTGCGCGGGGTCGTCATAAGAGTCGTAGATGATTGCCACGACTTAGTACGGGTAGTTGACTGCCGACTTGCAGATCTTAGACTACCGTCCATTGACGTATATGACACGAGGGAAGGAGTCTCTTTCTTGGACAGAGGCTTCTTGACCGGGGCGTCACACAAAGGTTGAAGGGGAGGGGTATGAGCTTCGATGGCTTGAAGATAGGTTGTGCGCATATCATCGACAATCTTTCGAATATCGTCTCTGCTGATGCTGGGGTCTTCAGCCATACTCGTCCGCGTCGTGAAGGAAGACGATGCATTGCTAGAGGAAAGATGCGAATATCTGGCATGAGATGAACGGTCAGAATGATCGTCTAGATAGGCGAGATCAAGGTTGGATGTCGACCCGTTGGCCTTGATTCCAAGGCCACGTCTAACTGAATCTGGTGGTCGCTGAATGATCTGGTTCAGTGAGAGAGATGACGAAGAGTAAGCAACATTGCGGTCGGGCAGCAAATGGTGTGGCCTAGGCACACCGGCACGATCTCTGTTGAGATCCCCAATGGTCCGATCTACACCGGCTTGTCCGTATATGGAAACTAACCGACTATATTCGGCCTTCCAAAGTGCTTGAATGGTCGGGTTTTTTTCTTCAAAAGGTTCGAGGAGAGATGTGGTCGATGCCATGTAGGGAGAATAGAATTGCTGGGCTGGGCTGGAGATGCCCAGCCCCTGGTTGTTAGGACCAGGGGGTGGGTACAGAGAATAGAATTCCTGAGAACAGTGTGAGCGTTCTGGGACACCGAAGGCACCTGAAGCCCAGCAGGAAGACGTGGGTGGTGGAACATCACTAAGTACGGATTGAGGCTGCCAGATTGGACTGGAGAAGGCCACTTGATCTGGAGGAGAACTTGGTGCAGTCGAGATGAACTTGAAATTGGGAGGCTCCGTGAGTAACTTTGGCTGTGATGAGGTCCGGGAGGTCCTTCTTTCCTTGCCGCCAACGATATACTCGCCCTGTCGGATGTCTTCCAGTGTGCGGTCGTAGTCCTGCTCAGTAACCAGAAGCTCCCCAGAGCTTAGGCGTCGACTTGTCTGAAGCTTGACAGGGCCATTCCCTCGGTGAGGTCGGTCCCCCAGCTCAGGTGGCTTACCCGGCGACGCCTCTTCATAAGAAAAGGATCGAAGGCGATCAGGAGGAACGCTAACTTTGCGATGTTTTGCTGTAGGCCCGCTAGATTTGGTAAAGAGTGGCAGTCGGCTTTGTGGTGGAGCAGTCGTGTATGGGATGCTATGCAAATCCAACTCTGGACCAGCATCAAGGTGCTGTCCTTTGTGTCTTCTTGGCAAGAGTAGCTTCCGTAACCGTGATTCCATGTTCTGAAAATGCTGCAAACCCGTGGTTGACCATTGACCTCAAGAGGCTGGTGTTTTTGCGCGTATGGCGGCTCAGGCGCTGGTGTCAAGCAGGCACGTCGGAAGGGCGATTGACGTGCTTAAATAGAAAGATAGCGGCGTGTTGCACCGGTCGCTGGTATAGTATAAGACGACCTCAGATTCTATTAAGAGACAATGCGCTGGATTGGAAACACAATGTTCTGGTCGAGAACAAGAGAGACACGTCTGAGATGCAAGAAGAGGATCAGTCATGGCTTTACGAGGAGGAGGAAGAGAAAGGAGCAAATAGTAATCTCTGACGGGCACGACCGGAGAGAGTTTGAGAGAGAAAAGAGAGCGTTTTGAAAGTCAAACAACAAGACAGGGAAGGAGCTTGAAGGTTGAAGCATGGGAGGCTTTGCAGGGACAAGGGGACAAGGGTGGATATCATCACGACACAAGGCACAACAAGGCTCAGGAAAGCCGGTGGTTGGTTCGCCCATTTGCTCCACGCGCGTCCTGGAGTTTTCGGAGACTTGTCATACCCAAGACCTCTTGGTGCTCATGGGGCTGGGGGAACCCCTATGAGTGGATGAAATGCCTCGATGTTGACGTCGCTAAATCACGAACCCTCGGTGGCACGCGAGTAGCATTAGCCGTAACACCCAAGACAGGAAGCAAAACAAAACAGACCTCCTGAGGTAAACATGGCACTTGGAAGCGCACATGGAGGGTGTGTCGCTGGACACTTCTGCGTATCCCTAAGA